TCCTTCATGACACTGGGGTCGTTCTGATCTCATGCCAGGGCACGGGGTGAGTCAAGGCACCTGGGATGGGGTGAGGCGGGGAGGTGAGACAGGATCACAGAGCCTACCTGCTTACCACGGGTCCCTCCCCACCCTAGGGAGACCTCGGCGTGTGGGAAACACCCTTCACTTTGGGGGTCCTGGGCTCCTACCTATCCTCATTCCATGATTTTTGGGGAAAAGAGTCCCTGGTGCTGGGAGCGGTTAAGCCCTGGACTGGGAAACAAAAGGCCAGCTGTTGGCGCCCGTCCAAAGGAGCTTCTGGAAGAGGAGTCTGGCAATTTCCCTCCGCAAGGTCAGGGTCATGAAAATCCTCTAAGAAAAATCAAACTCACTGCCATGGAGCCCATGCCAACGGCCCCCACGTCTCCTAGACTGCCACGTCATGGAAGCAGAAAGCCCCGTCTCTCACGTGGAGAGAATGGTCATTTTGAACTGCTGGCCTTGCGGTGAGCAACCCAACCCGTAACCTTACTATGCCACCAGGGCACCTATGGAAACCTTAGGGGGACGCTTCCACTGGGGCACACACTGGGCATGTTTGGGGAAAGGCGCTCCGCTCTCGAGTCGAGTCCCTGGCCTTGCATGGTCATGGGACGTCTCACCGTCCCTGAGCACACACACAATGTCAGAGCAGGACTTGCTCCCAGGGGTGTCCTCACTGTGGGAAGCCCACGCTGTGGCCCCACTGGCCAGCCTTGTCTCGCTCCCTGCTCAGTCTCTGCAGGCTGGCATGCCGCGCCCGCCTCAGGATGGTTTACCCCACTGGTGAGCCAGGCACGGCACGGGCTTCCTGATCTATGGTACAGTTCCACCCAGGCTCCACCACAGCTGAAGCAGATTAGGAAGCAAACATTATTCAGCCGGTGCTTACTGGTTACCGTCATTCCTCCATGTCCCCAACACGCCCCTGGGGTGGACCTGTTTGTGCTTGTCTGGGAGCAAGCAGCGCCGGTATCAGGGGTGCCCCTTTAGGGGGCCAATGCGACATCCTCTTTAGTTGGCACAGCCCGGGGTCATGATAACAAGGGCCTGGGTGGTCCTTTCCACCAGGCTGGCCCTGAGTCCGAGGTGACAAAGAAACCCACAAGGGCTTCCAACCCTGACTCTTAGAAGGGTGGCATCGTGCCATGCTGAGGAGCCAGCAGCTTGGGAGTCTGGGGAAGCCCAGAGAATTGGGGGCAGTCAACCACAGAGGAAGCAGGGAGACTAGGAAGGAGAGGCCCCTGAGGCTGGCTCAGCCCACTTCCTCTCGCCCTCAACCTGCTCCTTCCTCCCCTCCCCAGCATGGAGGTCAAGGGGCAAAATGGGAGGGCTGTG